ATTCGACCATTCTGGGAAACGGTGAGGAGTATTATCAAGCAGATATGCGATGTACAACTACCCTTAGACCCTTGGAGGTTCTTATTCCATCTCACAACAGACTTGGTTAAGAGGTATAAAAAGTCCCTGATACAAGATTTGTTAAACTCGGCCAAATCCCTGATCCCAAGGTATTGGGGGACAACTAAAATGCCTTCAGTCTCTGAGTGGTTTGCCAAATTGGACTCAGTAAGGTTGATGGAAGAAATGGTGAAGACGAAACAGGATAAATATGAGGGATACTCCCAGATATGGGGAAAGTGGTTGGAGTTTAAAGAATCGGATATATATTGCTCCTATATACTTTAGAAATATGACCCAGGGATAGACCCAGTATTATGGAATTATTAATGGGGAGGTAATATAAACAACATAGGAAAAGGAAGGGGAGGAAACTGAAAGAAAATAGGAAAGGGTGGGGGTAAGGGTCAGGGGGGGAAGGGAGGGATATAGAGAGTGTAGGGGATACTAAAGAACACTAAAAAACACTAAAGAACACTAAAGTTAAGATGGCAGGAACACAAAATAACAATTTAGAGAAGGGGAAAAGGGAGAAGAAGAGGGGAAGGAAGGGGAAGGGAAGGAAAAAAAGAAAGGGAAGGGTATTACAAACATCACGAGATTATACACAATGAGTTATCATTTTTTTTAGGTATGTAGAACACGTAAGGCTCACGAAAATTGAGAGTAGCACTGTGTAGGGAAATGATACAGCCCTTTGAAACGTAGGATAAAAGGAGGGGAAGGGGGGGAGGAGGGAGATACACAGGGAGGGACACAATGTACAGTTAAAGGAAGTTGAAGCACATCATTCTGGGACCCTCAGATGCATATTGGGTTCATGGATGGGATAAGAAGGGAATTATACGGATTTAAATGAAGAGGGGGGGGGGGAGAACTTTACCAGGGTGTCCGGATCTGGACAGACGGATGGGGAGGTTACGGGGGATGAGGGACGATTGTAGGATATGTAGGATATGGATAATGAATGATGGAGGGGAGGGTGTATTTTTATGAAATTTGTATGTTAAGATTGTTAAATCTATGGATGTTAAAAATGTAATAAAGAATTAATAGATAAAAAAAAAAAAAAATAGTATGGAAACTGTTTGAGCGAATGATAAAGGACTGTTTAATGGATGTTGTTTGTGACAAAGGTATAATAAGTGATAATCAGCACGGATTTAGGAAAGACCGTTCTTGTCAGACCAACCTACTAACATTCTACGAAGAGGTGAGTAGAGATCTGGATGGTGGAAGGCTGGTTGATGTGGTATATCTGGACTTTGCCAAAGCTTTTGACACGGTACCACATAAAAGCTTAATACACAAGCTGAGGTCTATGGGCATAGATGAAATGTTGTGTATATGGATAGAGAACTGGCTACAGGAACATGTCCAGAGAGTATTGATAAATGGCTCTTTTATTTATCAATTTTTTGCTAGAAGCAGCCCCATTTTCAAAGATACACCTACACACCAGAAGCCCAGACATTACATTAGTAAGGCAGTGTAAAGCTGGCCATAGACCTTACAACCATCACTTTTGTCTTGAGATGGTTGTAAGGTAATTAAAAAAACGTACGATCTGCCCATCTTGGACAGGCAGATCATACTTGCGATCATCGCAAGCCCGCCCCGCTGAGGGGCGGGCTTCCGATGACTGCAATGCTGAATGGGCAGTGTGCGCTTGCGCACACCGGCCCGTGCGGCATTTATCTTACGAGCAGGCCACAAACCTGTCCAACAATCCTACAATTCTCGGCGGGTTTTCGAACATGCTCGTATGACAAAAGACGTGCGACCGTACAGTAGAAATGGTCGCACGCCTTTCATACACCTTGCGATTATCATATGATAATCGCAAGGTGTATGGGCACCTTAAGACTTCCAGTATGTGTCTGCACCAAATCCAAAAATTAATATGGCAGCCGCTAGCCATTTGTATGTTTTTATGGTATTTTTAAGAACACCCTTTTTTAATAAATATATGCTTTCAAACTTTACTTAATACCTAGTATCTAAAGTCCTTCTAAAGTCTTATACTCACCTGTCTCTGATCTAGTAATATATATCTGATTTGATCACCCAGCTGTTTGTCATGTGTTCTGCAGTCCTATTAATACCTATGTAATCAATTGAGCTAGTCAGCAACATCTCACTGGACTGGAGACAGGTGGGTATAAGACTGAGAGGAAAGCTGGGGGGGGGGGGCCCTAATTATCACACAGTGACGTGCAGTAAGGTCCATGCTAGGTGAGGCATTCCCCCTGCACACCCCAGCCCACCAACACCCCGTCCCCAGCCCACCGACATCCAGCTCCCCTCCCTGTTTTTTTTTCCGTTTTTTTGGATTGGACAGCTTTGACCAATGTTGATTTGCCATTGGTCCAAACCATCAACAGAGCTCAAGCCTCTAACATCAAGTCAAAGCTGTTGATGCTCTTTCCTCACTGTGTTAGGTTACACATCAGTGGGAAAGTCCACTGTTGTGTAACCTAACTTAGCTGTCAAAAGCCGGATGCAGCGCCGCCTCTAATTAACAGGCTCCGTCCATGACAGGTTACACAGCGGGGAGATCTCTACTCTGATATAGGTGCAACTGCACTAAGGGTGAAGTTCCAATATAAGGGTTATTTCATTATGTACCCACATAGATATTTGAAAGTGCTTTTTAACATGCAGACATGCAGGACTAAGGTGACACTCATATATATGCATTGTGGTAACCTATTTTTAATATATATCCATTAACGGTTGAAGCATTAGCATTTTTCACGGAGAAGAGGCTGTTATTCATATGGGCTGTATGACTCTGGTTGTCATGTTGTGTATGGTAAGAGAGTTACCCGTAATCCTGGATGCTAAATTCATTATCTCCTTTATCTCTGGGGTGACCTTCTGTATCCGCCTGAAGAGCAGGTATGTAGGGTTGATCTATAGGTAATAGAAGGGGTGCCGATAGGATTCCAACTTAAATATGCTTTCTCTGTCCATTGACATCTCCTCTTTGATTCAATGTTTGTTGTCCTGCTTGAGTTTTGGGAACTGAGAAACAAGATTCTTTAGTATTCTTTTCCTATTCACAAGAGTGGAAGGGACATGACTGATGCAGGTGAGTATTGGAGGGTAGGGGTTTTGTGTTTAAAAAGTGGGCAGGAGGGCCAGCTAGCATAGTGATAGGTGGGTTTAGCTCGGGGTGTGGAGTAAGAGGGGTGATCTTACTGCGATGTGCGAGACAGGGAACCATTTTAGGTGGGAGAGCAAAAGAGTCAGTCCCGCCCACCCTCCTCTCTAGTATTTAACTAGAAAGAGTGTATCCCTCCTCCCCTGTGAATTATATTTTTTGCACATTCTGACCTAGCAGGGTTTCTCCGTGACTGGCATTGGTTTTTTTGCACATACTGACCTAGCAGGAGCTATCTATAAATTATTATTTTTTGGACACACTGACCTAGCAGGGGTTTTCAGTGACTGATATTGTTTTACACACAATGACCTAGGGGCTGTCTGTGACTGATATTGTTTTGCACACAATGACCTAGCAGGGGTTGTCTGTGACTGATATTGTTTTGCACACATTGACCTAGCAGGAGTTGTCTGAGACTGATATTTTTGTGCACACATTGACCTAGCAGGTGTTGTCTGTGACTGATATTGTTTAGAACACACTGTCCTAACAGGAGTTTTCTGTGATCGATATTGTTTTGCACACACTGGCCTAGCAGGATCTGTCTGTGATTGTTACTTTTTTGCACACAGACCTAGCAGAGGTTGTCTGTGACTGATATTGTTTTGCAACTGAAATGTTTATTTTTTTATGCACACATTGACCTAGCAGGAGCTATCTGTCACTAATATTTTTTTGGGACACGTTGACCTAGCAGGGGTTGTTTGTGACTGATATTGTTTTGCACACCCTTACCTAGCAGAGGATGTGTATGTATGATATTGTTTTGCACACACTTACCTAGCAGGGTTTCTCTGTGACTGATATTGTTTTGCACACACTGACCTAGCAGGGGTTGTCTTTGACTGATATTGTTTTGCACACACTGACCTAGCAGTGGTTGCTTGGGACTGATATTGTTTTGCACACTCTGACTGATATTGTTTTGCACACACTGACATAGCAGGGGTTGCTTGGGACTGATATTGTTTTGCACACTCTGACTGATATTGTTTTGCACACACTGACATAGCAGGGGTTGCTTGGGACTGATATTGTTTTGCACACTCTGGCCTAGCAGGGGTTGTCTTTGACTGATTGTTTTGCACACACTGACCTAGCAGGGGTTGCTTGGGACTGATATTGTTTTGCACACTTTGACCTAGTAGGGTTTCTCTGTGACTGGTATTGTTTTTTTTGCACACACTGATCTAGCAGGAGATGTCCGTGATTGATATATTTTTGCACACACGGACCTAGCAGGAGCTGTTTGTGACTGATATTGTTTTGCACACACTGATCCAGCAGGAGATGTATGTGAATTATATTTTTTTGCACACTCTGACCTAGCAGGGTTTCTCTGTGACTGGTATTTTTTTTTTGCACACACTGACCTAGCAGGGGTTGCCTGGGACTGATATTGTTTTGCACACATTGACCTAGCACGAGCTGTCTGAGACTGATATTGTTATTGCACACTATGACCTAGCAGGGGTTGTCTTTAACTGATATTGTTTTGCACACACTGATCTATCTGGAGCTGTCTGTGGCTGATATTGTTATTACACACTCTGGCCTAGCAGGAGCTGTCTGTATTGCACACAATGACCTAGCAGGAGCTGTCTGTGAATGATATTTTTCTTGCACACTCTAGCAGAGTTTCTCTGTGACTGAGCCCACCCCAGCCCTGAGCCAGGTAGAGCCTAGCATCCCCAGACCGGTCACTTTCACATCTCCCGCCCCACTCCCACGTGAATGCACACGTCAGGTCCCCTTAGATCCCTCACCCAGCTGCAGATGCGCAGCACAAGCCTGGATCACATCCCCAGCCTCACCGCACAAAAACACTCTACAAAAAAAAAAATGTTTTATTTAACATGCCATACCGGAAGAAGAAGCCATATTTTCCCAGCCTTCACTTTATAGCTATCCATTTATGCCACAGCTGAATACAATAAAAGAAAAATCAGCTTTAGAGATCCTGTGCTGCTGGGTGGAAATAATGCACCTCCTGGAGCTAGAAGGCTGTGAATGGTAAGCATAAACAGCATCCTTATTCGGATTTACGTGCATCCTGTGCATCTTGCTGTGTCTGTATGTATGACTGGTCAGTAGGGGGATAATCTGAATAAGGGGGATATTACATTGTGTTTGTATTGCCATAAACGTTGTGTGCATTTTGTTTCCCCTTGCAGTGAGGTGGCTTCCCAGCAGGATCAATGTATGAGCTGCTGCTGATGCAGGTCCCTCGGTTCAATCACAAGTGGATGGATGGCAAGACAGATCAGGCTGGGGATGCTGAGAGCTGAAACAAAAGAGGAGCCCTGCGTGTTTCATCCGAGGAAAAGAAAGAGGAAGCAAGGGGGAGGGAAGACATAGGATCCAACGGCTGGAGAAAATCCAGCACCTTGGCCAGATCATTGCCTTTACACTGGATTATTTATATTTCTTTTTTCCTGGGCTGATTTTGCAGAATAGAAATTTTTTCAGGTGGATATTTGGTTGTTACTAGGGGGCATGGAAGGCTACACTCTCCCACAGATAGGATGGGCTCAGAAGATAGCTCATTATCCCAGGCAGTCAGCTTCTTCTTTTCCCATCCCGCATCTATGTTAATTGCTTTCTCGTGTATTCAGTTGCATTTAACCGTTTCTGCCTTCCACCGTGCTTTTGAGTGGTAGGCATTAGATTGTTGCCCACCTCTCTCCCTTTAGCAGCCCTTTGCAGTAAGGTTGCAGGTCTAATTCCCCTGACTGACCCCTTTTTCAGCACTTGCTACTAATGCATGTTGAAATAATACAAAATATTCTTTTACAAGCTCTCCTATACCCAACATTGCTTTTATTTCATTTTCTCAGATGAATCATTACAGTACAGATTATTTGCTTTTTTGTCTCCTTTTGAAAGGGTTGGTGGATGCACCTTATTGCAGTCCCTACAGACCCCTTAGATAGACAACAGTGAATTGCACTCACTTAACCCCATGCAGTGCAGTCTTCTCCCTGGTACACAGGAGCACAGAGGAGTGAAGATAATTCTGTTTTCCTTGGGTGATTTGGGACCTGTGTCCATGCCTCTGCTTTTGGGACCTGTCTGGCTGTGCCCTGGAAGCCCCCAAACACCCGGACCGCCGGCTGGTGAATGATGTTTAAGTACCGGCTTCGCATGTTCTTTAATGAACTGAAGGTTCTGGTGCTGACCCGACCTGGGCGAAGTGAACCTGATCCGGGCCACGCTATGCGCGGGCTCAGCGTGGGGGGCTGTGGATGGCCACCCTTTGCAAACTGCTCCTCCAGAGACGACGATGAGGAATACTATGGGTCTGATCCTAGAACCCGAAATCTGGGACTGGAAGAGAAGGATGGGAGGCTCGGGGCTGCGCTGGACGCTGTTTCCCTGGGCAGCAGTATCGATAGTGGTATGAGGACCCCGCAGTGCAGAATCTGCTTCCAAGGCCCTGAGCAGGTGGGTTGTGTTCACCGTTGCATGGCTGTATCGCTTCGGGTCAGCCTATGTATGGCATAGTGTCTCACAAGTAAGTCACCTGAGGTAAATGGTCTGGGGGTGTGTATATAGAGGCATGCATTATGTTATGGTTTCTCTTCTCAACAAAAAGCTTTGTACCACAAGGGGTAGTGTGTCTGAGGTGTCACTGCTAGCATGTTTGTGTCTTGCATTCTATATCTTTTTTGACGTGTGAGATGACAGGGGTTTTTGGAAGCTTACAAAATTAATTTGCATTATACATGTTTTATTAATTTTATGCTCGATGTATTATATGATTATCTGATTTAAAAAAACAACCCTGCTCTTTGGAGATTTTTACGTGGTTGTTACGGCTATGTGTGCATTAGATGTGTATTAAATGTCTATGGTGATATTTCCAGAGACCATGGTTAATGCAGGCAAGGGAAGTTCATGTCAGACTAGAATAGCTAACAGGATAAGAAGATGAGTGCCATGCAAGCTCACTCAAAATATATAACCATGGTAATACTTGGAAAAATGGTCTCTGCAAGTATATATGTACATCACAGCCTCAGTATGTCATGCTATCCTTCTCATTTATTATTTAAAAATGTTCCTATACCTGTGCAGTTCTTTATAAATGGACAATGAAAACACAAAGGTGGCAACAGGGAACATTTATACTGCCTGTTCATTGTAATACAAAAGGCGTATTGGCTTTGCTTGGAGAGCTTACATGAGGAAATTTGCATAGAAACGTTTCTGAGTAATTGTGTCTGAGATCTCGCGGCTCGATCTCAGCTTGATTGTGTCTGAAATCTCTTCCTGGGGGCACGGTTTAATATCAAGCTGAAGTAGCTATTTACCGATTTAACGGAGTGGTCATTCAGCCCGGCTGCTTCTACCGGGATCAGACAGTCACAATGCTGAGGTTTACTGGGGTGTCTGAACCTCCCCTTAGGTGCTTGTCTAGAAACGTACCCAAGGGTGCTTGCTGAGAATAATCTTAATTGCATGGTTTCAGTAATCTATGTTTGTGCATTCTGTATTACATTTCTCATAACATTGTCTTTGATCATTTGAAGAAGTGTTATATTTACATCTAAAAACTGACACTCTTTCCATATTATGATACATTTTTGAAGATTATTATAGCTGTGGCATAGGGTAGTGATGCTGGCTCATACAGCTATTTTTAAGAGGGGTACAGAAGTATACAATTATAGATGTACCAACATCTTGAAAACTGTTGATTCTGTTGGCCATTTAGAAGCAAGTCTTGTTTGAAAGCATGGACCACAAGCTGATTGCTTATACTACCTATAAAACCTGCCTGTGTGCACCCCTTCGAAACTAGTTTCAGGTTCACATTGTTACTAAGGGCTGGATTATTATTATTATTACATAGTATTTATATAGCGCCAACAGCTTGTGCAGCGCTTTACAATATAAGGAAGACATTACAATACAATTTAAGACAAGATGGTAAGGAGGGCCCTGCTCCTGAGCGCTTACAATCTGAAAGAGGAGGGGGAAATGATACATGAGGAGGTAACTGTGTGGAGATGAATTATTTGAGAATGTGAAGGATTACCTTCACTTCAGGGCTAAGCCATGCTCTCCCACCATTTCCCTTTCCAATGAGAGCTCTGTTACTGGACATGGCGATATTTTCAGTGGAAAATATAACAGAAGGTGGGTTGGGATTAGGTTCAGAGGGGTGGACACAGAGGCGTCCTGAGGCCAGGTGTCACCCCGCTGTGACGTCACCACGCACGTGCAGGATGATGTCATTGCGCATGTGCGGTCATATTGGTGAGCCATCTTGGTGATGGACGCCGGCAGAGAGAGGAGCGGACGTTCACCCTGTGGTATAGGGTATGCCACTGGGTCCCCTCCTCTCTCCTGCAACTGTTGGGCTCTTTGTCCATGACCGAGTGCCCGACTTTTCAGAGGGGGTGACTCCAAAATAACTGTCAGTCATTTTGGTGCCACCCCTCCAATGGTGTCACCGTGTGCGGGCTGCACCCCTCTTGTGACGCCACTGTGGACATAGTTGGGCTTCCTGGTTTGTAGAGATAATAACAAGCACCTTTTGGTGCCGGCTCTCAGGGAACAGCTAGTTTTAGGCCCCTTTAACACTATCCGGTCAGGAAGGGATCCGTGCACCATCCATTTAGATCTGGCTGCCCATAGATTTACATTGGGCATCTGATTGGGGCCACCAGAAAAACTGAGAGGTGGACCTGATCGGAAAGGGGCCTTAAAGATCTAATGTTTGCTATAAACAAATATTATTTAAGTAACGATGATCGGAGAACACTGCAATTGTGGCAGGTCAAAGTATGTTCAGCTTACATTTAAAATAATTTTTTATAATCCACTGAACCTAGACTTCATCAGGGTTTTCCTATGCTTCTGGACAGGACTTTAGCCTTTTGTCATATGATGCTGTGCTGTGCATCATCCCTCAGCACGTTGGGTAGTGCTTGGAACTAGGCAGTTTTAATTAAAAAAAATCATATTTGCAAAGGTTTGTCTTCACTAAGTATAACTTGGTGGTATGATTTTAAAGCTGGGACTGAGCACCACTTCAAAATCTAATCAGTAAAAGTGAGTCTCTATTAAGTAAGTATAGGTTAGTAGGGTACCAACCAGAGTTACCACAACCAGATATATACAATGTGTTTTTAGTTGCATAAAAGCCACAGGGATTGTTTGGAAAACATTTATACATGATTAGGAAATTGTTAATATGTATATATCCGAAAGTCAACCTAATTAGGAAAGTTCCACACGAAAAACTCCCACTATTAGTATCCAGAGTACTGTGTGAGGTGTTCTACGCCGGATGAGTCTCTGTAGTAGTATTGCAAACCACCATTTAAGTCTGTATATATCGGCTGTCAATGCCACCATTTTAGTTTGTGACAGACTTCATAGATCTTGCATATGCGCATCATGGTGTGTGTAGTCAGCTCATGCGACATGTCATGTGACCTCTGCTATGTTTACAGAGATGCATGGCAGATCAGTTAGCATGAGGGCTGGATTGCAGCACTGATCGCTTTAGCTGTAAGGGGAGTAGCAGAAGGTGGGTAGGTGCATTGTACCACTATATTACATGTTACGGTAACACCCAGCAACACGCTATATATGTGTTTTGTGATGCGCAGCCCTTTATTGTTAATTGAACCCCAACACAAATATAGAGTGCATTGCAATGCACCACAATGCACACATGAATGTACTCAGTGCATTAAAAAAAAACAGAATAGAGCTTATTTGTCATGCATGTAGATGCATGCACAGTCCATTCAAAACAATTGGGCTGCCTAATGCAATGAGCACATTACAGCACACTGCGATGATGTGTTATTAGCCCTTATTGGATGTGTGCCTTATATGCATATGTTTGAATTTATATCACTTCAGGTGCACTTTGAGAGGTACTTGAGGTATGGTGAGGAATAATTAACCAACATTGGGGGACATTTATTAAAACTGGAGCAGTTGCCCATCGTAGCCAATCAGCTTCTCTTTTTTTGGTCAGTTAAGCTTTGAAAATGATACATAGAAGCTGATTGGTTGCCATGAACAGCTGCTCCAGATTTTGTCTACTCCAGTTTTGATAATTGTTTTTTTAAAATAAGATTTATATACTTAACAATACTAACAAAATAACAAATTGCTTTATTAGAAAATCTGACAACAGCCTATTATTACTGTGATGGTCAGAGTTGCATGCTCAAACCCCAGTGCATATGATTCTTCACTCAACCACAGTTTTGCTGAGTGGGTGAAACGTAGCTATGCACACATGCCTTAATATCCCTGTGACTGCTGGCAGGGACCCTCGGTGCATACAAAGTAGCCTACTTGTTACTCCCTATACCGCGTGCATATCAGCAGTGATCCTTGGATTGCTTGCGCTGCTAAATAATGACAGACTTCATAGATCTTGCATATGCGCATCATGGTGTGTGTAGTCAGCTCATGCGACATGTCATGTGACCTCTGCTATGTTTACAGAGATGCATGGCAGATCAGTTAGCATGAGGGCTGGATTGCAGCACTGATCGCTTTAGCTGTAAGGGGAGTAGCAGAAGGTGGGTAGGTGCATTGTACCACTATATTACATGTTACGGTAACACCCAGCAACACGCTATATATGTGTTTTGTGATGCGCAGCCCTTTATTGTTAATTGAACCCCAACACAAATATAGAGTGCATTGCAATGCACCACAATGCACACATGAATGTACTCAGTGCATTAAAAAAAAACAGAATAGAGCTTATTTGTCATGCATGTAGATGCATGCACAGTCCATTCAAAACAATTGGGCTGCCTAATGCAATGAGCACATTACAGCACACTGCGATGATGTGTTATTAGCCCTTATTGGATGTGTGCCTTATATGCATATGTTTGAATTTATATCACTTCAGGTGCACTTTGAGAGGTACTTGAGGTATGGTGAGGAATAATTAACCAACATTGGGGGACATTTATTAAAACTGGAGCAGTTGCCCATCGTAGCCAATCAGCTTCTCTTTTTTTGGTCAGTTAAGCTTTGAAAATGATACATAGAAGCTGATTGGTTGCCATGAACAGCTGCTCCAGATTTTGTCTACTCCAGTTTTGATAATTGTTTTTTTAAAATAAGATTTATATACTTAACAATACTAACAAAATAACAAATTGCTTTATTAGAAAATCTGACAACAGCCTATTATTACTGTGATGGTCAGAGTTGCATGCTCAAACCCCAGTGCATATGATTCTTCACTCAACCACAGTTTTGCTGAGTGGGTGAAACGTAGCTATGCACACATGCCTTAATATCCCTGTGACTGCTGGCAGGGACCCTCGGTGCATACAAAGTAGCCTACTTGTTACTCCCTATACCGCGTGCATATCAGCAGTGATCCTTGGATTGCTTGCGCTGCTAAATAAAAAGGGCAGCCTAACAAGTGAAATAAGGTTTTATGTTTT